GACTGCCCGCCATCTCCTCGAGGTCTCGCGCTAACACCACGCTGAAACGAGCAAGGACTTCTCCCCCAGGCTGCTGCATGCAGAGCGATGTAAGAAACTGCTGCACAGCCTCAGCCCAGAGCACAGGGGCATCAGCAACCAACAAACATGTAGCATGGCCTTCTTTCTCTGCCCTCGCCCTAAGAAACGACGCAGCCACCTGCCAAGGGGCCCCCTTGGCCCGCACCCTCTTGCCGCTGGCGCCCTCGGTACTATCCCGCGCATACACAGACAGCTTCAGCGCCTCCATCACGTCTTCTGCCCACCCAACTCCTATTGGGCTGGGACTCGAAGTATCATTCTTTCTCTTCTTGCGTTTGCTGCTGCTACTGCTGCTGTTGCTGCTGCTGTCCGCACCAGCGGCGCTCGCGCCTTCCTCCAGCGCCTCCTGACAGTGCTGCAGGGCAGATGTGACAGAAGGATAGAAGGAAGGAGGCAGCTGCTGCAGCGCGTCCGGCCACTGCAGCAGAAGGGCGAGACGCACCGCTGGGTGTAACACGGGACAAGAGGTATCCTCTGTCTCTTCCCAACCTTCTGAGCCACGAAGGAGGCGAATGCATGCGCCTCGAAAGGTCCTGCTGCGGTCCCAACATGCTCGCAGTGTCCCAACAAGGCCCTGCCTAAACACCACCGCAGCATCTGCTGTTGCTGATGCAGCTGGTGCTGCCGCATGCCCGTCGCCGCGCAGCGCAGTGGCCCCAGGCGCCGTCTGCAAGCAAAGACATACCATCACTCGCTCTGCTGCTTGCAGCAAGTCCTCTGTAGAAGGGAAGGACTTGGCTGCCTGGACGCTGGTTGAGTACTCCGAACTTTCATTCGCCGGCGATGCTTCAACAGCAGCAGCAGCAGCAGCAGCAGCAGCAGCAGCTCGTTGATCGGCCCTTTGTTGCTGCCACAAGCCCTGTAAGAAGCTGAACAGGTGCACTGCCTCCTCTTCAGAGAGTGTCTGCAGCCGCTGCACTAAGGAGACTACTGCTGCTCCAGGGGGTTCTTTTGAAGGCGTTGGGGCTGCGCCGCATGCATGCAGTACAAGCGAGAGGCCGAAGATCCCTTCAGCCCCTGTCAAGCACCCAGACGTCGTTTCTGCTGCTGCTGCTGCTGCTCCCTCCCCCCTCCCCCAGAACTCCAAAAGGGGCAACAACCACCTCAGCTGTGCGAGCCCTGCAGATGCTTCTGCTGCAGTTGTCGTCTCCTTGTGGCCCAGCACAGCCTCAGCAGCCAGCAGTAACAAGGGCCTCCCGTCGTCTGCCACGAAGGGCCTCGCAGCCCCCACAAGACGCTGCAGCAGAGCCAGCAGCAGGTCCCGCATCAGCGGCTCCTCCCGTTGGCATATCTCCCCTGCTCCGTGTTGCTGTTGTGTCTCCATCTTCTCTTCATCTGGTGCCACCGTCTCCTCCTGACCTTTTGTCTCCGTTTCGAGCTGTCCGCTAGCATTCTGTCCCTCAGCAGGAGAACGTCGAAATCTTGGGGCCAGGCCTAGGCGGTGCATACAACGGAGAAGGGGAGCACGGCTGTCCGGGTTCAGCAGCTGCTCTG